ATTTGAGAATTTGGGGATTTGGAGATTTGGAAGTTTGAGAATTTGGGGATTTGGAGATTTGGAAGTTTGAGAATTTGGGAACTTAGAGATTTGGGGATTTGGAGGTTTGGAAGCTTGGGAATTTGAGGAGTTAGATATTTGGAAGTTTGAGAATTTGGGGATTTGGAGATTTGGAAGTTTGAGAATTTGGGAACTTAGAGATTTAGGGATTTGGAGGTTTGGAAGTTTGAGAATTTGAGGACTTAGAGATTTAGGGATTTGGAAGTTTTGAAATTTGAGGATGAGGGGACTTAGAGGTTTGGAAGTTTAAGGATTTGGACATATAGAGGTTTGCAAGTTTGAGGATTTAAGGATTTGGAGACTTGAAAGTTTGAGAATTTGGGAACTTAGAAATTTGGGGATTTGGAGGTTTGGAAGTTTGAGAATTAAGGAATTGATAGGTTTGAAAGTTTGAGGGTTTGGGAAATTAAAGATTTTGAAGCTCAATAACTTTGAAGCTCTGAAAGTTTGAGGATGTAGTCATTTACAGATTTGAAAATTTGAGGATCAGGGGACTTATTTGTTTGCAAGTTTCAGGGTTTGGGAAATTAAAGATTTGGAAGTTCGACAACTCTGAAGCTCTGAAAGTTTGATTTGAAGGTCTGAAAGTTTGAGGATGTAGTCATTTACAGATTTGAAAATTTGAGGATCAGGGGACTTATTTGTTTGGAAGTTTCATGGTTTAGGAAATTAAAGATTTGGAAGTTCAATAACTTTGAAGCTCTGAAAGTTTGATTTGAAGGTCTGAAAGTTAGAGGATGTAGTCATTTACAGATTTGGAAATTTGAGGATCAGGGGACTTATTTGTTTGGAAGTTTGAGGGTTTGGGAAATTAAAGATTTTGAAGCTCAATAACTTTGAAGCTCTGAAAGTTTGAGGATGTAGTCATTTACAGATTTGAAAATTTGAGGATCAGGGGACTTATTTGTTTGGAAGTTTGAGGGTTTGGGAAATTAAAGATTTGAAAGTTCGACAACTTTGAAGCTCTGAAAGTTTGATTTGGAGGTCTGAAAGTTTGATGATGTAGTCATTTACAGATTTATAAATTTGTCAACTAAGAAACCTAAAAAATTGTATGACAATGTTCATAACTTCCAACGATCAGCAATTCGACCACATAAAAATTCAGAAAATCAAAAATTCGAAAGCTAGCAAATAAAAAAAATTTTCGCAAGCTTATAAATTTGCATATCACCAAATTCCCAAATTACAAAACTCCATCGCCCAAAAATTCGAAGATACAAAAATTGTAAAACTGTCAAGCTTTCTCATAAAGTGTCCACATTTATCTCGTTTGAAAAAAAGTCTCTCTCGTTAATCCTCCTCTCCTGAATGACGCTTTTCGAACAGTAATTCACCGGAATCGATCAGATCTCGTCTCGGCTATGAATTTTCGATTCCCGCTCGCTGTCTCGAACAGTATAATATGAAAGCAGAAACCTCGGGAAAAAAGGTGAAAGAGTGCCGTGAAGCGCTTCCCGCGGGAAACGTGGAGATTATTCGACGAAGCTTCGTACGACACGTCGAGAAAGAATTAAATTTTTTTTTTTTTTTTCGAGAACAAAGGGAAACTGCTCCCGTTTTCTCGTGGGAGGATCAGAAGGGAGGACAAAAAAGAGAGGGGAAAAAAGCTGAGAACCCGGAGTGCGTAGCCGCGTCAAAGGTAGCTTGATACGAAAGTGACGTGCAATAACGTTGGCTTGATTGAAATTTAACAAAATATACGCGAGTCGAGTATCTGTATACTGATACATTTCCTGCTGCTTTTCGTCTGGTGAGATAAAAATAATAAAAGATTTTTGTATTAAATCTTTGGGTAGGGAGATAAAATCTGAAGGTTTGATTAAATGTTTTTTAGTATTGATGTTTTAAAGTGTTTGTAAGTTGGTTTTTAAAGAGTTGCGTTCAAAATTTTGATAGAAAAAATTGCGACTGTTGTAGTAACGATAGTTAAAATCTTGACAGCTATAATCATGTTAGATAAAATCCCAGTAAATATGGTGCTGTCTACTAGTGACATTTAAAAGTGTTTGCAAGTTGGTTTTTAAAGAGGGACATTCAAAATTTTAACAGTAAGAATTGAGACTGTTAGAGTCACGACAGTTAAAATCCTGACAGCTATAGTCACAACGGATAAAATCCTGTTAACATAAAATCCCGACAGCTATGTTAACATCTACTGGCATTTAAAAGTGTTTGCAAGTTGGTTTTTAAAGAATTACACTAAAAATGTGGACAGCTAAAATTCTCACAGTTATAATCACGACAACTAAAATCCTGATAGTTATAACCACGATGGATAAAATCCTGACAGTTGTAGTTGTGTTAGCTCAAGCCATAACAGCTTAAATTCTTGACAACTAAAATCCTGGCAGCTAGTTCCATTTGCTCAAATGCTAACAGCCTAAATTCTTGATAACTAAAATCTGTACAGCTACAGTCCCGTTAGCTCAAATCCTAGCAGCCTAAATTATTGACAGATAAAATCCCGATAACCTAAAATGCTGGTAGCTATAGTTCCATTAGCTCAAACCCTAACAGTCTAAATTATTGACAGCTATAACCACGATGGATAAAATCCCGATAACTTAAAATCCCAGTAGCTACAACCCCGTTAGCTTAAATCCTAACAGCCTAAATTATTGACAGTTATAACCACGACGGATAAAATCCTGATAAGCCAAAATCTCAATTATCTATAGTTCCGTTACGTCAAACCCTAACAGCCTAAATTATTGACAGCTATAACCACGACGGATAAAATCCCGATAACCTAAAATGCCGGTAGCTATAGTTCCATTAGCTCAAACCCGAACAGCCTAAATTATTGACAGCTATAATCACGACGGATAAAATCCTAATAGCTTAAAATCCCGATTACCTATAGTTCCGTTACCTCAAATCCTAGCAGCCTAAATTATTGACAGCTATGTCCACGACGGATAAAATCCCGATAACTTAAAATCCCAATAGCTAGAGCCCCGTTAGCTCAAACCTTAACAGCCTAAATTATTGACAGTTATAACCACGACGGATAAAATCCTGATAACCCAAAATCCCAATTACCTATAGTTCCGTTACCTCAAACCCTAACAGTCTAAATTCCCGACAACTAAATTCCCGACGGCTAAAATCCCGGTAACCATAGTTCCATGAACTCCAACCCTAACTAAATTCTTGACAACCTAAAGTCCCAACAGCAATAACTACCTAAAAAATATTATAACACATCTCAAATCTCCTCCCAAAAAAATGATTAAACCAACAATATTTCACATTATTATTTTAACTAACAGAAGATTCGTGACGACGCTTGATTCGCGTTACATTAACCTTGTATTCGTATAATTTCCACGATTTGTCCTACCGTCGTGTATTTGTATAATTCATTTTGCAACGTTACATGCATAACTAATCGGGGATTTATGGGGCAGCGAGTGCAGGCTCTACACGTTAAATTCCCATATTAATAATTCCGTGCACGATCGCCGAGTGCTACTGCGCGGAATGTGTTAAATTTCAACGGTTGTTCGGCCTGAAATTACGAGGGCCTTAGAGCTTTAGATGAACGTTGCTGAACGCCTCACTCGCGGAGGATGATCTCTAAATCGGCCAACAATCGATTATTGTGGCTGCATTTTCATAGTGTATACGTTTTCGTTGCCTTTAATTCTATCGATTATTCATTCGGGGATATCTCGAAATAGGGTTGTTCATTGGTATAGTTAGTGTAGGTCTTTGCAAGTTTTGTGGTAATGTGAACTATTTTGGTTTAGTAGTGAACCATTCAGGTAATTTTAGTGGTTTAGTGGTTTAATTGACACTATTAATTTTTGAGAGATTACTGTGGTCATGTGGATTTGGAAAATTAAGAATTTTAGAAATTTCAGGACCTAGAAACATCAAATATTTAGATACTCAGAAAGTTTTTAACTTTTACAGTGAATTATCATTTACTTGCAAATTGGAGGTTTAGAAAATTTCCTCAATCGTCATGTTAAAAAATTTCTATTAAATTTAAAATTTTTCTTCCAATACTACAAACAAGAAATTAATGTTAAATGTATTTTTGTTGCAGCCTACAAAACTGAACGTTTACAAAAATGACGCAGAGAGCTGGGACTACACGACGCCAACGTTGGGTGAGTTTTCGCTAAACATTTAACCCCCGTCTCTATATCTCCATTTCGTCTTTGTTTACCGAATTTATTTTCCCATTTTTGAATCTTCCCATCCATGTTACGTTCGTGTATTATTCACAACTCATTTTCGATGTCGCGTGCAACGATCACACGTAAAATTTTCATGAATGCGAATTGGAATCGTTCCCTTTGGCGCCACTGTGTTTCGCGAATGAGAATTTCACGGCTTCCTCTTGTTTCGTGTTCTTAGCTCGCTCAGACGCTAATTGGATAAAACCTAACCCGTGTGCGGGCTTGAAGGGTTTCCGTAAAATGCATTCCTCGTTAGGTTTATACCTATATTAGGGTGGTGCTTATTTAATGAAGGACAACATTTTTGTAATTCGCCGAGAGTGCCTTAGCAACCTGTTTTACCCTTTTCTGTGCAAAGATGGCGGTTCGATACGCGACGTTGCAAGTGCAATAAAAATTTAAACAAGCAATAAAAATTAGAATGTGAATACTTTATATTCAGCGATCTTTGGTAAATGATCTTTTGCAAATTATAGGTGGATCTAAATTGTAAGTTTAAGAGTATTAAAAATTTGAGTAAGATTTGTTATAGGGGTATACAAGGTGCCTCACAAGTAGTGTAGGTCCCTGAAATGGTAGCTGACAAGATTCTAAATAAGATTTCCCTTTGCAAAAATGGGGTGCGGAGCTTCGTTTCTGAATTATTAAGGAAAAACGCGGACCAATCAGAGCGCGAGATTACGCGCAGGCGCGAGAGCGACAGCTTCGAGCCTAGCGGCTGAGCGCGCGTAATCCTCGCGCTCTGATTGGTCCGCGTTAGATTACCACGCGATGGATTATTACGCGTTGGATTACTACGCGTTGATTAACTACGCGTTAGATTCCTACGCGTAGAATTATCACGCGTTGCATTACTGCGCGTTGGATTACTACGCGTTGAATATCCACGCGCTGGATTACTACACGTTGTGACAAGATTCTAAATAAGATTTCCCTTTGCAAAAATGGGGTGCGGAGCTTCGTTTCTGAATTATTAAGGAAAAACGCGGACCAATCAGAGCGCGAGATTACGCGCAGGCGCGAGAGCGACAGCTTCGAGCCTAGCGGCTGAGCGCGCGTAATCCTCGCGCTGTGATTGGTCCGCGTTAGATTACCACGCGATGGATTATTACGCGTTGGATTACTACGCGTTGATTAACTACGCGTTAGATTCCTACGCGTAGAATTATCACGCGTTGCATTACTGCGCGTTGGATTACTACGCGTTGAATATCCACGCGCTGGATTACTAC